CCTATAAATCGTATGACCGCCTACCCCGGCTATTATCTGAGACCGTCAGCACTTGTAACACCGTCAAAACTTTCAACAATTTCAACACTTTCAATACCTTCAACGCTTGCAACACTGGCAAACTCTATCCCATAGGAGGTGGGCAGAGGCGGCGGCTTTGAAAAGTGACCAACTTAGTAAACTCAATAAGTTTACTAAGTTGGTCACTTTTCAGTTTCGTAATTTTTTAGTGGTTCTCTCACAGCATTTCGCGGCATCCTAGCAAAGACTACATATGATGCCATCATGGCACAAAACTGTCTCCACGTATGGGTCAGCAATCAGCTTTCACGAATCAGAGGAGTTTCAGCTCATGGATCTACTACGACCAGATAAAAACGTTGGAGATGACGATAGGTCAAGCTATTATCTAAATTGTAGCGGATAAGTAGGCTACTGAAAACGCTCCACTTCTATCAATTAGAACGAAGATGCTTACCAGTTTCAAATGTTGGCTTGATTCTGTTATGAGCGGCTGCTAAATCCTTCCCTATTGCGTGGCGAGTCTGCGATTATGAACCGTCAGTTACTTAATCCGCCTTCTTTAGATGATTTTGGAACCAGGGATTGGGCTGTCAAAAAGATCAAAGTAGAAAAGTAGTAATTGGTGTAAACAGCAAAATGAATCATAGGTCTTGAATTTGGCGAAGCTTTGGAGGACGTTGCGTTCAAGCTCTGTGACATCAACAGTCACGACTACTTGTGAACTTCTTGCTCTGGCTATCATGCTGTCAAAAAGATTGTTTCAGTGGACGTGCAGATGACAACAAGGAAACAATTAAGAAACGTCTCGATACCTACAAAACTGCCACGACACCGGTTGTAGACTATTACAAGAAGAAGAAAAAACTACATAGGGTATACATTATAAAAATGAGCCTTCGCTTTTTTTATTAATCGACGCAACCAGATCGAAGCCAAAGGAACTGTTGATGAGATATTTGGCGAAGTTTCAAAACACTTGGACGAGATTATGAAGAAGTGAGCAAAGCGAAGCTAATCAGTCGCAGGTGAATTTCATGTAAAGCACACGAATTCGAATTCTTGTAGGCCGAAAGCGCCAACGCCCACGAAGGCGCCGGGACTTGTGAAAAAAGAAAGGGTTGATTTGACTCCTCTAAGAAAAGCAGGAGTTCCAATCATCTTCATTGTTGGTGCGCAATTTGAATTATGAATTTTTTCGGAAATCAATCCCCTTTTTAGGTGGTCCCGGTTCTGGAAAAGGTACACAGTGCGACAAGATAGTTGAAAAATATGGACTCTCACATCTTTCTTCGGGGGACCTTTTACGTGCAGAGGTAAGTCGTCCCAAACATGTTGTGCCTCAACAAATTCGTGCTTCTGCAGGTAAAATCAGGCTCTCCAAGAGGCGCTAAACTTTCGAAAATCATGGAAGCTGGGC